AAAAAAAACACGGATAACAGATTTGCAAGAATAAGCCCATTTTGGCTCAGTATACAAAACTGAGACAATCTCTTCCACTATGCTTTTTTCATTTGGATCATTTCGTTGTTTTCTGTAATTAGAAAAGTTTAAGAAGTTGATGTGAGCGCTAGACGATAAATTTTTAGAATGAGGAAAGTAACTTAAGCTGAAAAGTACGATACAAGTAATCACTGCTATTCAATATTATCCCAAATGAGCGAAAGTGTTCTATGTTTCTGCAATTCTTGAAATTACATTAGCCTTCAAAGTAATTATCGGTATTAGACTTCTACAGCAATATTTGCTAGCTTTTATACTATAGCTTAGTTTTAACTAGTTGTTATATATAGATTTAATACATAGCGATTACTGAAAACCAAGCAATGATGAAAATTATCACATATGTAGTTAGATTTTAAAACAGATGACACAAGACGATAAAATGAACCATCTTTTCAAAAAAAGCACCTGCTTTATCGAGAAAAGGAAAAAAATCAACCAAAAAAGGATGGAAACCAACTTGTTGATTCATCAATTGTTGTTGTTGTTGCTGCTGACTTATTATCTGTTGCTGCTGTTGTTGATCCACCATCTGCTGCTGTCTGGCGTACACAGCGGATGTACCATCGACTTGTCCAACATTTGGAGGAATCATATGCTGCTGTTGCATTTGCATTACACCTAAAATTATATAGCAGCATTCAAAAAACATTTGTAATCGAACTCTAAACGAGACACAACGGGACACAACAAATACATGAAACGTTTCGAAGTTAGTAGAAAAGAGCATGGAGCTTCAAAGCTGGTAAAATCAAAACATTGGAGATTCATCTACGTTTGTTTGCAATCAGAATATATACTAGATGGAAATAAACCAGCACAAAAGACAAATCAACAATACCTGGGCTTTCAGGGACTTCCTGAGGATATCCTTGTGTCATTTGTTGCTGTCTCTGACCGAAACCAGCGGCCTGCTCATACTGACCGATAGGCATCCGATGGCTTTGCATCAGTCCTTGTTGTGACTGCATCATTTGCTGTGGTGTCATAGGCGCATTACCTA